TCATTTTGAATTGAAAATAACAACAATTCCTGTGACGTGGCGTGCAATCATAACATTGGCCTAAAGCAGAAATGCTTATCTATTTATTCGTAACAAGTTTATTGAAGACACGAAATTTGTATCTCTCAAAATATAATTTTTTTTATTAACCTTTTAAAAACTAAATCTGTGAACTTTAGTCCGTTATTCGTTGAGAAACCTGATGTAATTAACGACTTTCTGTCAAAGCTGCTGAAGTAACACTTTAAAGCTTGCCTTAATGGGTTAAAAGCCTTACACGGTGGCTAGCTGAAACTATAAGTGGAGAACTATCGGCAGTCGGCACCATCGATAGTGAGTTATAGTTTTTTTCTAAACCATCGATTACCATCGATAGTTTTCGATAGTATGTTAATTTTAATACAAATGTCTGTTCCATCAAAAAATCATGTTGTTATTTCAACTACTTTAACTAACTTTTTAAGCTGATTGACTTGTCAATCGTTTGCTTTTTTCCGCTATTTAACTAAGACCATTCAGGCAACAGTTCTGAATGTTCTTCTATTCAAGTTGACATACAAGAAGTCATTGCTCTTATTTGAGCTTTTTCGAAGAGCATTTATTTAATGAAATTATTTTAAGGAATTGAATTACTAAATAAAAAAATACTTTAATTAATGAGAATTAGAGAATCTTCAATTAGTATGTATTTAGGTGCATCGATGGTTTTTAATTACCCCCTTTTAGAGAATTTTAAGTGCACTTACACTTGGTAATATAATTGACATTTAACTATGAGCATACTCAGAGAAGAATCATAACCCCTTTTGGTTCATATATTTTGCTTTAACAATATTCAACTACTACTTTAAATTTACAATTGTATGTTATATGTATGTTGATCCTTTTTTTTGAATCAGCGCAACTGGACACTTTTACTCTTTGATAGCTGGGGGTACTACAGGGTCCCACACATCTCATTGACTAATTTATGTATTCCCTATAAGCTTCATGATTATTCAGTGATTGATCTAAGATCTGCCTATCTCCCCGTGCGTAGAGTGATTACTATAAGATTAGATAGTGCTAAGTAGGAGAGCCTGTAAGTTTTCGCATATAACTTCAGGGCTCTGTCTGTTATGATCAAGTCTATTCTAAGGTCTCTTAGCATGTCGTTTGTGCGGATGTACCAAGGCAGTTTGAAGAGCCTTCGGAGAGCCTGACTTTGAGCAACTTGTAGCTTTTGTATAGTAGAGTCGGCAGCTTTGCTTTATATGACTATTAGCATAGATTTGTTTTTACATATTTTTCTCTTTTATTTATTTTAATAAAATTGTGCTATAAATTAAATACATATATTCAAAAGTCTGGTCACTCCACACAATGTATTCTACACTGAAGAACGTGTATATTGCATAAAAGTTTATCTCTAATGAATTGTAGAATGAATTAATTGTGCAAAAACGAATTTTATTGAAAAGACTAGTAAATATCAAATCTTGATGAGAATAAGAATTCTGAAAAGCGAACCGTGGAAAAATATTAAAAAAAGAAAAAAACATATAGAATTCGAATCTATCATGGAATTTGCTATGAGAAACAAACGTAGACTATCGATAGTCTAGGACTGCCATCGATGGCGAATCGATAGTGGTAAACCATTGATAGTGCCATCGATAGTTCTCCACCTCTAGATGAATCAATTCCTTATATGAAAATTGTTTAATGTGGTTTAAAATTGAACATTTAGTGGTGCAATACAAGGAGTATAAAAACTGCAAGGAAACTGCAGTCTCAACAAAATTATTTTCAAGACCACTGATGATGGGTATTTGGCAATATTCGAAACAGCTGTATGGTCAGCCAAAAATTTAATTAATTAAAATAATATAAAAAAGTGTTTGTTGTTGTAGTTCACTACATTTCAAAAACTTCTTTACAAGGAAAGAATTAAATAAACTAAAGTCGCTAAATCGGCGATTTAGCTGTATAAAGATTCAAAATATTAAACGTTCTTAGAACTTGGTGGATTATCCAAATGTTTCCATAGGGTCTATTATCGTTTTTTTTTTTTGGTAATAGCAGCAACTGTAATGTTACTGCTACATTTTTTGTTACCCGATGTTAAGTTTGGTGTTCTCCAATAATAGAAAGAAGATCTCTGTTATATTTTTTTTTCTCGCGTGGTTGGTCGTGTGTGTTTTTCTGACATTTTATTGTCAATGTAAAAAAATTATAAAATTAGTGTGGGGACGAAAATGATTAAAGTTGCACTATTTTTCCGATTGAAAAATAAGAAATACTTGCGCTTTCGGGACTAGGTATTTTCAATGATAGTATAACCATTACCACCTTAAAATTCAAAATGAATAGAATGTGAAAGTAAGTTGTTTTAAGTTATTAAATATAATTATTAATTTTATTTTTTATAAGTATAATGTTATCTACATATATATATAAATATAATTAACACAGCTAAATATATATGTGTTAAATATATGCACAGTTTTCATACATGAAAAATCTTATAACCGACACTGGATATTTGTTTATTTCTTTCAGATTGGATGGCAATAAGATAAAAGTAAGCAGGGTTAATGTTACTGTATTGAGATTACACAGTAACAATTTCTTCGAGAAATACGACCTTGGCCTTGGACTAAAATATGAAGAAATTGAGCGTTTGTCTAATAATTGTGACTACAATATATAATCCTAAACGAAAATCAATTTAAATTAAAACCGACAAACCGTAAGTATTAATATTAAAATAAAATATTTATGAACCGAAAATCTTGTTTGTATTTGAAAAGCTTGTAAATATTTGATGTACTATGACCTCCTGCAGTCGAAAGGAACTATAGAGGATGGTATTCATATTCATATTCTATTAGTGATATTGAGCTCTGTGTTTTATGATAGATTATAAAGTTCTAATTAAGATTTATACTTTTAAACATTTTCCACATCAGCTTTTATATAAACTAGTAATCTGCAAAATTTTTTTAAGTTTCTCTTAAGTTCTCGTGCAGATAAAATTACAATTAACAATTCTTGAAAAGCTTTTTGATAATTTTTTCAATTTAAGCTTTTACAGTTTGTAGTATAAAAAACATAATACATAATTCTATTTCATAAGTATTTGTTTTAGGAAACTTTATAAAACAATTATGAAGTAGACTTGCCATTAATTAGTTTAAAAAAGCTAGAACAAAAAAATAATAATAATAATAATAATTAAATAACAATAATGTAGTAGTAATAAAATGCATAAATCCATGCTCCATGCATAAAACCATTATTAAAACAAATTTTCAGTAAGTAATTTTACACATAAATTTTTTAAACCATAGCATATATATTTTGACATTATATATATTGAAAATAAGTTAACTAATTTTTTAGAGCTTATATTTATTAGAATAATTTTGCTTTGGATTGCGTTCTAAGCTGGCTGTTTGTTTAGCCTTTTGCGTGAAAGATAAAGCTCGAACATGATTGATTAGAGGTGTTCACTCATCCTAATTATCGCTTCAGATATCATAAACCTGGCTGATCCTTTTTTTAAATTATGTTATAAATATGTTTAACTAAATTTTTATTATTAAATTTATTTATTATAATCGCTTTTTATGTGTTATTTTAGTATACATTACATATACGATGTACGATATACATTACTTATAAAAACATATATAAATACATATATTTAAATATTTAACTATGTTAACTGTATTTCAAATTTCTGTTGATAAATCATTTCTATATTATTCTTATATACGATTTGTATAATTCTGCTTTCAAATAAAAATTATACTGCATAAAGACTTCAATTTAATAATAATTCAAATATATAAGATTAGAATATGTTCTATACATATACGTGAAAAAAATTGTTATATATTTAAAGAAAATTTTTTATAATATTATGCTGCTTTAACAATTGTTAACTTAAATTATGTTAAACTAAATAAAGTATTTAAAAGAAAAAAAAAACAAACTTGCTCACTTAAGTATTATTTTGAGCATAAAATAAGCAAATAATTTTTAATTTCTTCGAATTTTTTAAAGAAATTTATTACGAGTAATACAGTTTGTTGTTAATATTCTGCACTTAACAGTAGATTTACTTTTTGTAAAATTTAAGTTCAATATATTATATGAAACCAATGTGTGTATTCAACATATAAAGCCTATAAAGCCTATATACTTCTTTATATATTATTTTTGTTTATATACTCTGTTTATGTTTAACGCCTGCGTTTGCTATCGGAATAATTTTTCAACATTGCCAGCTAAGTACAACTTGCCACGAAATGTCATCTCTAACACTTATTAATATCCGGTGTAGTCTTTAGAAACTCATCTGGTCTCTTGTGCTCAATGAGTGCACGAACCGTGCCACAATCAGCTGGCAAATCTGATTTTCTTCGCAAAAGCGGCTTATCCTTATTACGTTCCCCTCGTTTCTATTAGTTTTCAGACAGCGGATATTGCAGTGGTGAGTTGGTTCAAACGGTTATAAATGAGTAAAAAGTTACATATTTCAAAAATATATTACTAACAAAATATTATTATTATATATATACATAATAATATATATATGTATATATATTATATTTTACTGGTATCATATAAAATATTTTGATCTTCTTTTTCTAAATTGTATTTGTAATTTTATAGATGCTTTCAATAACTATTTTATACTTTATGTTTATAGGGACTGTGGAAATTGGAAGTAACCATACTTCTGCGATCAGCATTTGAGGACAATAATTATACTATTACTTAATGAAATGTCAACTACGTTCTGAAGTTTCTAAAATAATCTTAATATTGGTTATGAATGATTTAAGTATTTGCAAGTTAATGTCTTATAATCAAGTTTATGAACATTATATCCTAATCATTCTTGTGAAAAGTGCTAAATGAAATCATTTGGCATATACATTCAATATATGTTTATGTAAAAATAACGTATGTTATATATTTTTACATGTTTACATATATTAAATATATAATTATAAACTTATATATTGTAAATTATATATGTATACATATTTTATATATTAAATACATTGTTGAACATAATTCAAAATATTTATTAGAGGTATTAGCTTAGTTGAAGATATTGCTACGTGATAAATAATTACTTGTCAGGTATAATTACGTCAATTCTACAACTGTAACTTTACTTTACTTATCGTTACCTATCTGTTCTCATAACCCAAATAACGAGCTAATTTTAGCTTTATTGATTTATGTCTATGTTCCTCTATAGTGACAGAATTCCTTTACATTAACTCAGGTTAGTTTTAATTAGCACCCACTCAAGCCCTCATTCCTCCTACCTTCGTCTTCTCTTACTTCCCCACACACCCTATTTCAACTTATGGGTACAAATTTATCATGAAACTCATTTATGTTTCCTGCCTATAATTTCCATATAACAACAAATTATTTTTAATTAGCACCCAGTCAAATCCTTATTCCTCCTTCAACGCACACATACATCCGCCCTCTCTCATTTCCTTTCCACACCACATTGCAACCTATGGGTACAAATTTATCTTGGAATTCATTCATGTTTCCTGCCTGTAATCTTCATATTACAACAACAAATTATTATTAAAAATATATATAAAAAATTGACTTTTCAGATATACTCCTGTTAAATGCTATTATATACAAAGATCAAAATATTTTATATTAACTTTTGTACATAAAAATATATATATTTTTTTGTTTCTTATTTATATATATAATATTGAATTTTATTTATGATTTTTGTACATTTTATAAAAATAAACCAATATGAAAATGAAAAAAATTTAAATAAGCACGCTAGCTATTTTTATCCAAAGCTTTGTTAGTTTTTTTTATACTACATAAAATATATTAGAAACAGAAATAAATAACAAAATAGATAAATATGAAAGGTTAACATATCAAGAAAATTAA